CATCAAAGCAATCCGCGCTTAGCGAAGAACTCCACGCGGGAAGGCGGTAACTTCACGAACATGCGTCGCCGTCGTCGTCGCGATATGGAGAAAAAACTCACGATTCACGCATCCGCGCTTAGTGTTCTCTTCTTTCTTTTTTTAAATTTTTGTTATTTGTGTTTGCGTCTCCCTTCCTAACGTCTTTCTGAAAACCCGAAAGGAGATTTCTTCACCATTTCGCTTCGCCCGGGAGCTGCACGAATTTTCTTTCTGCTCGGCACTGCACGGACGACAGCAGGAAAACACGTGATTCCATATTTACGCCGGGTATATGCTTTCTTTTTTTATCACTAGTATTAGTAGGTTGCAATTTTTACTTTTTTTTTGTTTTTTTTTGCGTGCAGTTTTTATTGGTAAGTTTACCTTCTTCGGAGTGAAGGAGTTCTGCTTTATTTTTTTTGGTCGGAGGAAGTTGAATTGTGTACTCACGGTCATGGCTTCTGGAACTGCTACGCGGTGGCCATCTTGCTTCTGGTCCGCAGTGTGCGTTGAGAAGTACGCGACCGGAACACGTTCTGGGGCTGCTCTCGAATCCAGGAAGTTCGTGCACGCATTTTCTTTTTAGAACGATGTTTGAGCCGTCGTGCATCCGTGAGTCTCCGAGACCGGGCAAGGTTATCGTTCGACAGAACGCGTACAAGCGGCCAACTGGGGAATATTTGGAGTCCGGCGCATACAAACGCGTCCAGTTGCAGGGTATAGGCCCGGTAGGGTTCGGTTTCTGGAAAACGTTATATTGGCTATCGGCTGGAGCTCGCACTAAAGTTTCCACACAAAAGGTACACGCAATGTGCATCTTGAAAGTATTTTTTGTTTCTGTCACCAGTCGGCGTGACGGTGCATGTTTTAAGAGAAAACTTATATCCCGCCTCTTCGACACTACATCCCAAAGGTCATCTGTGTGGGCACGGTGTCGGGAAAGCACGCGACGTGACGCTGTAACGTCACGATGTCGCCAAGTGACGTTGCATCGAGTGGGGATGACATAGGGCCACGCCGCGGGAACCATGACGTCAGCGCCACCTGGGGCCATGCTGCCACGTGCAGCGTTACGGTTGCACTCGACGTTGCAGTGTCACGTGACAACACGCCGTCGAAGCAGACCCAAAAGCGCTATATACAGGCAGCTGTGCATGGGCGCCACCATAACCGACCTCCAGTTTCTGTTTCCTCTTATTCCGTTCGCTTGGCGAGCTAGTCTGGCCACCGTGGATGGAAAACGCCTTGTTTGGCTGCTATTCCGTGGGTACTTCTCAGCAGTGCTCGACTATCAGACGATCTACACACACCAGCAGCGAGATGTCACACTGCTTTTTCGGCATTGCGCATGCGCAGATGCCTCTCTGCTCTCGACTTTGCTTTCTGCCCACACCTGGGGCTCTTCCTATCTGGACACTTGGCGAAAAAGTGGGCAAGAAATCTGGCGGCCGTGATTGGCCAACGCCGCACTTGACTTTGGCGCCGGCCAATCAGAGCCTCCGGATTTCTTGCCGACTTCCTCGCCGAGTGTCCAGCTTAGGGCTGCGGCTGTGGACAAACGCGGGCTTGCTTATAAACATTGCGTTGGTCGATACACATTAGGCATTTCAATAAAGTAGCGCGGCGACGGGCAGCAGAATGAACGGCTGAAGGCTTTTCCTCCGAAATGTGCTTCGTCATGCGTGCTGGTTGACGGTCGCTACTATAGTAAGAGAAGGCGTACGTATCGAGGGACCTCATTCTTGAGAGGGTCGGTTGTCGCGATTTCAAAATCGTTTTGCCTTTCTTAGGAACTGATAATAGTGATAAAGAGGGAGGCAGTGCATAGCGTCAAAAAACTTAACGTTTGATGTCGGGCTCCGATCTGGGCTAATCCGGTACTTTTTCGAGAATAAGGAAACTAAAAAAGAAAGGGGATTGTACTCGTTGTCACCCCCAAAAAAATAAAGAAAAAAAAGTTTTGCACATTGTTTATGCGTTGCGCGAAGTAGTGCTTACAAGTTTTGGTTATCGGAGGAAAAAGCGATGCTTTTGCCGTTTGAAACGTGTACGTCTTGATAACATATATCTAATCTAAAATGCACATACATGCATCTTAATTCTCCACATAAAGGGAAAAGTAGTATTGCTTTGCCAAGGAACCACACTTTTTTTTCACTAGGTTTTGGAGGTGAAAACGAGCCTAGTCTATGGCGTTTATGAATGGCTCTCTCGGACACGAACCAATATATTTCGTGAGTTACATAACATCCGGTTACTAAAGGGCGTTACAGGATGTTTGCTAGCGCCGTTTCTTCTTGAAGCCCCAACCGGCAGCGTTCTAAATAAACGGTATACTTAAATGTCACCTACCAGGTGGACAATTTAATTTATTAATTTATTTTATTCGTTTTAAATAGCAGTAGCTCGAAAATACTGATACTTTATCGCAAGATGTATTTTTAAACGCGGCAGATTAATCGACCAATCCGTCCGATCACTGATAATTTTGCTGAAGTAGTCTAATTCACTACATTTTATCGATGTAGATCGCCGTATGCTGACAAAAACTGCGAGAGCAGACGTGAGGGAACATGAGAACGCCGATCTCCGGTTGGAATTGGGGGTAGACTAGGGTGCCTACATGTTTCCGCTCCGCTTTAGCGTGGCGCCAACGTCTTGCTACCCTTTCTCAGATCCCCTCCCACCGCCATTTTTTCCCACTTCATATTTCGCTAAACGTAAACAACGTTGAGTTTCTGTAGTTTCGACACACCGGCAACACTGTGAGGCCACTTCCGTTTCCGTTCATAAGAGGAGTCGGAGGCTCAGCGGGATGGCGGTGGTTGTGGCTGTCTCTCACTTTATTCGGGTGTTTCATATTTTGAAGTTGCGAGCAGGAAGTGTGCGTTGCTTTTATCGAAACGCGAGTTCCCGCGACAAAATAGAGCGCAACAGACCGGCATTGAACGCCGAAACCTCGCCGTCGAGACGAGAGCGGTGGGCGCTCCCTAGCCCTAACGAGGATTAGCGGCGTAGTCCGAGCGCACGACCGGCGGGTGTGACAAAATGGTCGACGAAAACAGCGGAGGTTGCCATGGTAATGAGATAGGCAACGATGGTTTGTCGGCAACAGGTATCACAAACGTTGTCGCCACCCTAAACAGCGGAAACATGTAGGCACGACGGGAAGCTAGCGCAAGTTCGTCTGCTTCTGCGCAGGGGTTGCGATGATGTCCGAACGCGGAGATCTTATTGGGTGATTAAAAAATGAGATACTGGATAGACCTCAAGGCATCTAGCGTTGATGTCTACCCCCTATCCTCTCAATCAAAGTCAATTAAAGGTCGGCGTCGTACTGACGTCGCCGCAAGTGCTGCGCAAAAAGCAGACGACTTGTTCTCCGCATAGCTGCTGCTTTGTCTCGACTGCACTCGTCGAAGGCGTTCGAACGCGAACGCCGGCCTTCCAACTGGTTGGACGAGTGCAGTGGAGACAAAGGCAGCGCTGGCTTTAGGTCTACCCCCTAATCCTTCCAACCAGAGATCGGCGTCCTCACACGTCTCCTAATCTCCCTCAGTTTCTGCCCGAGTCAGAACGAAACCAACGGAGCTGCGAACCGCGTGCATGCACTTTGTCCAGCTGCCACCAGATGCCGTCGCGACTTGGACCGCACTAAAGCGCCGGTTCCATTCTACCGACAATCGGAGTGCTGCCAAGGTGCTGTGCACAGTGGCCACATATGCCCTCGAGCCAAAGACGGCGAAGCGTCGCCGCAAATACGGCAGGTCGCCGCAAAAACGGCAGGTCGCCGCAAATACGGCAGGTCGCCACAAATACGGCAGGTCGCCGCAACTACGGCAGGTCGCCGCAAATACGGCTGGTCGCCGCAAATACGGCAGGGCGCCGCCGGCAACCACAGCACACCGATGAATTCGTCCGCTTCTCGCGCAAGGGTTGCGGCGACGTCATAAAGACGCCGAGTCCTGATTCGTCCCGACTGGAAGGATAGTGGGGATAGACCTCATTGCTAGATGTCTTGAGGTCTGCCCACTATCCTTCCAATCAGAGCTTGCCGTCGTTCTGACGTCACAAGTTTGTTCGACGCATATCTGCTCCAAGCACGCGTCTGCTTCGAACCTGTCTGCAGTGTTTTTGTACGACCGATGGAAGAAACGCGTCTCAGTCTCCGCAGACTGTCTCATGTACGATGTATTCGTGGTGTGAGTCGCGGCTTTAGACGACACTGCACTTCGGTACAGCTCAGAAGAGAGATTTCGGGAAGGCTCCATCAAGAAACAAAAAGCAAGGAGACGGGACTTCTGTGTTGTTGTTTTTTTTCCAGTGCAAAAATAATCGACTCTGCATTTATTGAATGCTTTCTGCTCTCCTCCCCTTGCAACGTATGTACAAAGTCACTTCTCCTAAGGTACTCCGTAAATATACATATGTACACAGCGTTTTGCTCCTTCTTTTAAAAAAGGGGGATTTTAAATAATAATAATAATCAGACTGTACAGACGCAAATGAAAGAGAGAGAAGAAAAAAAAAAAAAAATACCACACACGCATACCACTCGAAGCAGCGAAAGACTCGTTAACACCATCCTCGTTCGCATATTTAAAACCGTAGCATGACTCGACAAAAAGGCAGCAGCATTGTGACAGAGTTGCAGCCGCCCCAAAAGACATCTTCTATTTGCTTCAGAAACAATACGTTCCAGCAAACAAAACAAGTTGGGAGAAAAGAAGAGAATAAACAAAAAAAATAGGAAAGCTCGGCTCAATTGCGCATGTGCGTTTTTCTTTGTTTCCAGTTTTTAAAAACCACACGCTGAACACAGACAACGAAGAACCGTGGAGAGGCAAGATGCAGATGAAACAACAGAAAGATTAAAAAAAAAAAAAAAGCACAAACGAGTTTTAATAAATTATAGCAGGAAAAGGAAATATTCTCCGACTTCAAGACTGGACTCTTTCTTCCAGTTTGGGGAGAAGGGTAAAAAAAAAATAATCGTCAAAATAAAATCACATTGTCTTTCTCTTGTCCTAGGCTGGGAACGATGATGACAATATAATATTAAGCAATAATAATAATAGTAATAATAATAATAATTATAATAATACTCTTCGTATAGACTGGTATGTACACCACCGATATATCCCTTCCAAAGAAACCCTGGATGCACAAAAAAAAAGAGAAAAGGATGAAACAATAAAGGTTGGCAAATTCGAAAAGCACTGCAGGATGTAATGAGAATTATACTTTTCAAATGGCACTTTTCTCCATCAAATTTCAAGGTGCATCCAACAACGTTGCTCTATTAAAATTGTCTTTTTCTCTTCTGCAGCTTTCCAGCTTTTGAAACTACAGTTTCCCCATTTATTAAAGGAGACTACCGGATAACTGCATAGTAGATGCCGTTTCGATTGGCTTGCACCGCTAAAGCTTGGCTGGTCGCCAGCTAACCTTGGAAACCATAGCTGCCAAAGGGAAATGTGACTAAGACAAGAATTGTGCGCCATCTGTATGGAAATACAGGTACTGCAGTACGGTAAAGGTGAGACACAGTAGTTAATGGCAGTTTTCTTTTTCATCTTGGTTTCCAGGGTTCTAAAGTCCAAAAATAAGGAGAGAAAAAAAAAATACCATTCATAACAGACATCTGCAATCTCCAAGTATGGGATGGGGCAAGACGAATTCTTACAAAGTACCGACAAGAATAAAGTGGGATGATTGGACAAGGTAAGACAGATTAGCCAATACAAACTGAATGGAAACAAGTAATTCACTAAGTCATTATATGTCATCAGATGAGATTGGAAGTTCTGAAATTTTTGAGGGTCATTGACCTAATTAAGTTGAATCTAATTGTTTGGATGGTCTATTAGAGACATAATGCTAGGAGCCCCAAATTTTTAAACGCTGTACAGAATCATCTCTGGTGTTATGCTAATATTAGATGCTATCACGCCAGATGCACTCTTACAAGAAAGCAAGCATTACTAAATTTTCCGCTGCTTGAGGTCACCATTCAGACAGAATGGTGATCATAAAGTTTGACTTGCGTACATATCTACTGGAAAAACTGACTAACATAAATTCATGAGAGCATTTTTGTACGAAGAAAGTTTTCAATTATACCAATGTACTCACATTTCATATGCATACCTAAGTGCTGCAGACAAAAGTACTTTTTCCTTTTTATCTCAAACATCTTTAATTGTTTGTAAACTTAATACTGCTTTTCTTGATTCAAAATTTGTTTTGTATCTGCTGTACGGTGCACAGTCCCAGACACAATTCATATCATTTTGGGTAATCTTCACCTGCTCCTTCATGCGTTCATTTGGAAAACTCGAAATGCGCAAAAAATGTTTCGACAGCACCAAACAACCAACTAACATTCAACAAAACAAATTCACGTATGAAAAGAAAAAAGAACACACAGGAAACAGTACAGGTACTGGAGAAAACAGATGCCTCATACAAACAAGAAAAAAAAAAAAAAAACTCTCTTTCGGTCTGCACAAAGCCAACTTAAAAACCAAAAAAAAAAAAAACAATCAAAGGAAAATGGCTTCATTCTCCCACGTGCTTCACAAATAAATTAGGACGGCAGAGAAATAATGCATATGACAACGATGGAACGCAGGAAAAAAAAAAAAAGAGAGTATAGTTTAAAAACAAAACAAAAATAAACGACTAACCCAGTCATAAAGTAAAAAAAAAACCTGAATAAAAACAAGAGCTCTTTGGATCCATGAGTTGGTGTCTGCGTGCACGTGTGCGTCTGTCTGACAGCAACAAACACATCATTGGTGCAGCGAGATGGCAGGCTTGCAGGCGGGCGGTCAGTGGAGGAAGGACGCGCACAGCCGTCCAGTGTTCCCGACGCGCTCACTCACTTCTTGTGGCGAAGAACGCAGTGACTAACAACGTTTTTTTCTCCCCTCTTCTTCATCTTCTTTTGGAGAGGGTTGAGCGTCCGTACGCGCGTGCAGATTGTTCGGGTTCGCACGACGCACGTCACACCTCCGTGGCGAGCAAGCTGTCGTCCTTGTAGTGTTCTTCGATGACGTAGACGACCGAACTGCCGGTCTGCGAGTGGTGCTCCTTGGATTCTGACGTGGAGTCGTCCTCATTGGTGGGAAGATCACAGCTGACGGAAGGGAGAGAAAAGGTCGCTGTAAGAACCCTGCATTCCCGAGGCGAAGGTTGCTCTTCGAAATTAGGAGCGTGAAAGACGACGGTGCTCTCGCTTTACTTTTCTACGTCTCGTCGGGTCCGCCCTTTTTCTGCGTCTGCAGGCCCCTAGAGATCTATTCTCTCTCAATTTGTACAACAGTCCAAAGTACAGGACCTCGACTTTGCATACCCTTCCTAGTTCGAACCACAACTCTTTCAAAACCTGGCAGGTATGCGAAAGAAGCACGAAGGACTGCTTTAGCTCATTGTGTCTACGATATCATCTAAGTGACACCAGGAGAACACTGCTGAAGAGCGAATCTGCGCAATTTGCCGAGAGACCGAGCTTGTTTGTAGCCACAATATGTTAGTCGAACAGCAACTTACACAAAGGGGCTCGCCAAAGATTGCTTCCCATCCCCTTCAGCTCGACGAAGTCCTACATTCAGCAAACGAGAAATCTGCTCTTTTTGGTTTCGACCGCTGAACTGAAGAAATATAAATAGCGAAACCGTCAGAGTCAGATGAATAAAGTGCATCGAGTTGCCAATCTCGTGTATTTAGACTTTATATACATTACAAGCGTAGCGGGTCCCAGCCGCACTGGCTCGGCTGGGATCAGAGCCTACTGCTTACTCCTAAAGCGCGCATACTCCTTCCCCACCCCCGTGAGAGTATTCGCTGTTGCCAGCACATGACACTCACCTTTTGGAAGGAGACATCGCTGGAGTGCCGGCAGCCGAGGAGCCCTCCCCGCCGGCAGCAACGTGCAACCGATTCAAAGTCCGCGTGCTCGCGTACACGCCGCCCTCCCCGGCGTCAAAGAGTTTACTGCTCCTCGCAGACGCGCACTCCACGTTGAGAACCTTGTTGTTGGGTGGCGCGGAAGACACTGCCACGCCGCCCTTCCCGCCCTTGCCGTCGTCGACCCGGTTGGCCTGCTTCTTCTGCAGCGGCTTCTCCAGCTCGTTCACCACCACCTGTCCGCCGCCCAGCTTGTTGTTCATCGAGTGGTGCGTTGCGTTGTGCTCGTTCTGGCGCAGAACTGCGTCGGCGTCGCGCTGCTCCCTCCAGCGCCGGCGGCGCCGGAAGCACACGATCGCCAGCGCCGCGGCGAGCACGGCGACGGGGACGGCAACGGAGAAGGCCGCGATGAGCGCCACGTGGGCTCCGGTCAGCCTGTCCTCGTTGTCCTGGCCGACCACGTTCCCAACTCGTTCCGTCGCCACGAAGGGACCGTGCCTGGCCGAAGAGCCGGCGACCGGCCGCGGCGGCGCCTCCGCCGCGCTGCCGGGGCCGTACTCGCAGCGGGATCCGGAGAAGCCGCGGAGGCAGCGGCAGGCGAAGCGCCCGACGCCGTCGACGCAGGTGCCACCATTGAGGCAGGGTGACGAGTCGCACTCGTCCAGGCTGACCGAACAGTCCTTGCCGGAGAACCCGGGCGGGCAGCGGCAGGCGAAGTCGTTGACCAGGTCGACGCAGCGTCCGCCGTTGGAGCAGGGCAGGGTGAGGCAATCGTCCACGTCGGTGCGGCACCGAGGCCCCACAAAGCCCGGGACGCAGAGGCAACGGTAGCTGTCGGCGCCGTCCACGCACGTGCCGCCGTTGGCGCACGGTCGGGACGCGCAGTCGTCCACGTCCACCTCGCAGCGGGGCCCGGCGAAGCCCGGCCGGCACGTGCACCGGAAGCCCTCCCGGCTGTCGTCCGGCAGGGGGGTGCAAGTGCCGCCTGCGCCCAAGAGCAATTTACTTTTTAGTCGCCAAGTTCGTCGAGTTCTCTATTCGGACGACAAGGGTATCCACCCTGGCTGCTTCGGACATTTGCACCACGTGTGACCGGCTCGGTTACAACTCCCGGTGTTCTATTACGAGTTGTGCAGACCTCGGCTGTCGTGGTGCGCCCCTTGTCATGAGCAGTCACAAGCAGTCGGAACACAGCTGGTCCCACTCAAATGCCCACGTCCGAAGCTGTCTTTATTCACACCTGCATCTAGTGCGGCTAGCCTGCTTACCGAGTCATACTGTCACGGATAGAATCGAACAGTTTACTGTTTACGTCTTTATTTATTTTTTTTAGAATACCAAGACTTTAGTTTATCTCAACAATTCTAAAATTTCCTCCTGTATCATTTATTAAAAAAAAAGCATATTTTCTTCAAAAACAAAAAGAAATGCATTGCTCATTTTAGTTTCCTCCCCTTTGGCTCTGGCATTTACTTTGCCTTATTTTATTTCCAAATACTGGGAGCCCTCTCTCGAGGGCCATTACAAAGAAGGTACTGGTTAAAATATACACGCAACAATGGACAGGGCACGCTACAATTAACATAATTACGTCCACAAAAGCACAAGTTTCCGGGGTGGCACTCACCGTTGGCGCACGGAGAAGGCTCGCAGGGCTCCCGCTGGATCTGGCAGCGATCCCCGGTAAAGGCGTCGGTGCACAGGCAGCGGAACCCGGGCGCGACCCCGTCCAGCGCGCTCCTCGGGTCCTCCAGGCAGGTGCCGCCGGCCTCGCAGGGCCCCGCCGCGCACGCGCTCTCGGCCGTCTCGCAGTGGCGCCCCGTCAGCCCCGGCGGACACCGGCACCGATACGAGCCGTCGCCGTTCTCGCAGACGCCGCCGTTGCGGCAGGGCGACGCGCGGCACGGGTCCTGCGCCACCTCGCAGTCCTTGCCGGTGAAGCCCGGCGGGCAGGCGCACGTGTACGAGCCCTGGCCCGTGTTGGTGCACGTGCCGCCGTGCTGGCAGGGACGATGGTTGGTGCAGAAGTTCAGGTCTTGGTTGCAGAAGAGGCCCCCCCAGCCCTCGTCGCAGTTGCACTGCCAGGGCTGCTGGCAGCTGCCGTGCAGGCAGCCCGGGTACCGGGTGCACCGGTCGCACAGCGGGCCTTCCCAGCCGATGCGGCACCTAAGGGGGGGCAGGGGGGGTCAGTCCCCCTCCCTCAACTCGCCGGCTTGCACGAGTAGCGACGACCAATTCGCGTGACCAGGTACATTTGGAGAGCAAAGACAACTTTCGCTTCTTCTATTGCACTCGCACTTCTGTACCAATTTTCGAGTCAGTGCCACAGAGGATGTCCCCACTTGACAGAAGCAGAGAATGGACTTTGTTTATTAATATATTTTCTCCTTTTTTTTATATCTAAGAATTTTAACTTTTACTCCCCCTGCCGATGAGTTCATACTTCCCCGAGCAAAAAAATGGCGGGTCAGAGGCTGGAGACAATAGACACCCCCATACGCATGACCCCAGGATTTATTGCCAGTAACCATCTCCGTACCCTAACCATAACCACCTCCGGAATATAATATTACAGTTTGGGAGGGCAAGGAAAAAATTGAGGACTCACTTGCACTCGTTGGGCTGGTCACAGTCGCCCTGGGGTTCTTTGCAACCGGGGAGGCAAATGGCTGCAAAAGAAGAAAAAAAAAAATTTAGACCGTTGACTGTGAAAACTTAAATGTCAACCAGACCCTCCAGAAAGACATTACAGAAAATAGTTTCGCTGTCACGGGTCCTTCCAAAAAGCCATAAATAACCTACCCACAACATTAAAGGTAAAAAAAAGGAAACAGGACAGGCACATTACAACACCATCTGCTGTATAGTGATACTGCTCCGGGCGCAAGCCTTCGAGTTTAACGTCATAAGTAAGGACACGAAACTAACAGTCCAGTCTGAGAAATCGATGTTCTTTATGCCAGTGCCAGAAACAAAGGAAGCCTGGTTCAGCCGTGCCAAGGCTGTCAACGCGAGAGGGCAGCCACACAGAAGCCCACTTTCTAATCAAGTCACTTAAAAATATGCTAAAAACAAATAAAAAAAAGGAAGAAAAAAGGATAAACTGACAACTTGGACCGGTCAAAGACACAGCCCAGCTTCTCAGAACTTATAGACGAGGAAAGGAGTGCGTAGCAGCAAACGAACGCAAATTGCTCTCCAGAGCAGGAAGCCATTTTTTCGAACTACCGCGGCATACCGCTCTTAATACACCCGACAAACTTCCAAACATAAAAAAAAAAGCAGCCAGCGTAATGCCGGCAGCAGTGGAAAAGAAAGAGAAACATCGTAAATCTCCGGCGGCGCGTCACCCACACGCGGACATAAACTTCCCATGACGAGCGCGCACCTCCAAGGAAAACAAAAACAATAGCTAAACTCTATCCGCAAAATAAAAAAAAAAGAAAACGAAAAGCTAACGCCTAACGGCACTAAATTAACAAATAGGGAAAAAAAAGAAAGACAGAAAGGTCCTGTCCCCATTTAGTAAAAGTCACCCGAGCCACCTACCAAAGCTAAAGTCAAATATAGTTATTTTTTCTCCCCCCCCCCCCCCTAAAGTCCTCGCAAACTTATCTAGACCCCCTTTCCCCTCCTTGGAAAAATATAAAATCAATAAAAAGCGAGAATACTGAAGCGTCACAGATTGTCTGCTTGTTACTTGTTTCCATGGCGCTGCCAGTATTCTTGTAACCTACCTACTGAAAAAAAGAAGAAAAAAAAAAGCTTTTGTCGGGTTTTGCCACTAAAGCAGTACCGTTTAGTGATCGAGTGTCGAACTAACAAACAGCACCGATGCCATCGCAAAGAACACAAAAAACAAAAACAGACGAAACACACACAAAACAAAATCGGGCATTCCCGGAATCCGTGCCGACTAACCAACAGACAATCGCGACCCCCTGATGGCGAAGCAAAAAGTTTGGGGCGGCGCAGGCTCAAAAACAGCTTCACCGAAGTTCACCGCGAAGCTGGCAACGTTGGACAGAGGAGAGAAAGAATGAGGAGGAAGGGAGAGCGCCTGCCCCGAGTGGTGCCCTTCGCGGAAACGCTAACGATCCGTCCCCCTTAAGTTTCCCTTTGAGCGTCACCGCTCCCACACCAAAAAGCGCCTTCCGACCCTCTTTTCGTATAATTATTTCGGGCCGGCGCTAAACTTAACACGCTCTGTCAACGACAACGCGCGAAGCACAAACAAACACAGGAAGCTGGAAGAGACGGACAATCGGAGGAACAAACCAACGAACGAACAAGAGCAGCGAAGGAACGCTCGCTAGAAACAAGCCCGCGGAAAGAGCTCCAAAATCCATCCCAACTAATCCGGAGCAAAAGTTGGTCTGCTTCTTTTGGAGGCGTGGTGGTGACGTCAGAACGGCGAGCTTTGATTGGCTCTGATTGGAAGGATATTGGGTAGACCTCAAAGCAGGCTGCCTTGATGTCTACCCACTACCACCAGCGAGCGATGCGGGTTATACCTAACTCGTGAGTAGAAAAAGAGCAACCTTGGCGGTATATGTACGAACACCACCGAGCGGGCGCTTAGTCAAATTGCAGCATTGTTCAGTCTGGCAGCCGAGCGCGCCACCGCTCCGCCAAAAAGTGGGCTGGCGATTCGTACCGCACTCACGTGCTCTAACGCGGTGCGGTAAGAAGCGGTTAAGTGATCGCGCAACAACCCACCGGTCATGCGCCTTTTAAGGTCACACAACGTTTAAAAATTACGTAACCCCGCGAAGAAAGATCTGCATCCCAACGCGGTGCGCTAGACGTTCACGCGGTATATGCGATCAGAAGCTACCCGGCGTCGTCGTTTATTTCGAAAGCGAGCAAAGAGAGCGACAACTTTGCCACAAACTAGCGATAGAAGGTGTTTTTGTTTTGGTTTTTTCCCTGTGTTGCTTTTGATCATTCATTGCAGGTTTGAGGTGTTTAGGTACAGGCTGTTTAAGCATACCACGAGCGCTCGCACGATCACGGAGCGTTTTCATTCAAGAAGTGGTGGAACCATGATTTCGGAAAAAATAAGCGGATGAATAGGAGCCACCAAAAAACTACGGCTCCAAACATAGTCGGTAAACTTTTAATGTTCCTAACGTTCCTCGGAGCAAAAGACGAAAGATGGCCGATGTTTGAACAGAGGCTCAGAGCAGAAATGGAGGCCTCACGTCACGGTTTCCAGTAAAAAAAAAGGTCACACTTCGATGGATGAATGGATACGGCTGAACCGTTTTAATCGGTCGGCAGCTTCCGCCACCTCGCCAAAACTACATCCAACGATCAACTAATCTCCGCTTACATTCTGATTTTAATAGAGAAGGGCAAAGAGTGTCACATCGCCACTAAGCACGAGTTGTAATCCGTGTGACACTTCCATCAGTGTGAACAGCGCCACCTATAAACCATCTCAAAAGCCGCCTCCTGCACGCTGCCACAGTTTTCAACACTGGGCTGTGCAAAACATCCCCGAGCGTACGCAGCAGCCCTCTTCTGCGGAACATCGGAACCGCACGCATGCGTCCACACCCCAGTGGCTCTGCATTTCTCTCCGGGTGGGGGGGCGGCGACGGGCGCCGCCAAGGTGTACAAGGAAACGGACAATGGGGCGAGCATCCGAGCCATTAACCACGCGCATTCTCGTCTTTGTCACGAGAATTCGTAAAGGTTATTATCTGCCCGGTCCCCGTCAGACGCGCAGCGGCAGCATGCGCAAGGTCGGGGACCGGTAATTTTCGCGCGCAATGGAAATGACAAATAGCGCGAGGGTAGCTTTTTGTGCCGTGAACGCAAAGTAGGGCTATTACGGAGTCCTAAGCCCTCAGCGGCGTCAGCGGGAAGCCGCCAAGCATGCTGAGCGCGGCCGCCATGATGGCGCACATACGAGATCACGCTGGAGTAGACAGTAGGCAAGTTCCGCGGGAGGGAGAGAGGGAAGAAGGGGATCGCTACCGAACCCGCATGTAACTCCCTTCGACACCGCGAGGGGGCGTGCGGGACGGCAGAAAGGCGGCGGCGGTGGATTACCTTCCCGAAGAAGGACTACCGTGCAAAAAGGACTGCACGGGCACACCGGTACGTGTGTGTATGCGCCCGCACATACACACACACACACACACGGTGTGGGAAGGTTCGCAAACGAAACACACGCACAAAAAAAAAATCAAACCGGCAAAAAAAGCTCGTAATTATAGGTTTAAAACTACCTATAGTACATAACGAGAACGCGCTGCCGCTGTTGCCCCCCAAAAAAAGCGAGCGCACACACGGCGCCCGCTTTCCACGGTCCGAAATAACCCGAGATTTAAAATGTTGTTAAAAAAAAAAAAAAGAGAGAGAGAGAAACGAGGCAAAGCGGGTGAGAAAAGAAATGAATCGAGTAAGGGAGGAAAAAAAATGGCGGCGGAAGGAGAAGGGGTCAACTTGGCTGCGAGAGTCCCCCCATCAGGGTGTATCGGCCACAAAAGGAAGAATGAACAGGCGAGGGAGAGGGGGAAAACGCGCGCTGCTCATTACAACTTTTTAACAGGAAGGCATACCTGCGCACCACCAAGCAAAATAGACATCCGCAAAAGAAGATGGGCTCGCTCCATCCCAGCGGAGAAGGCCGAGAGCTACCGCAGGTGCGCACCCCCTCGAGCAAATTGGAAAATGCAGGTGTGGAAAGGAGGAGAGAATGTCCCTCCCTCCTTCCAAACTCGGGCTACCTGTCGGCGGAAGCACTCCGCGCCCGATACCTCCCATCTCTTTCTCTCTCGGACGCTCACGACGAACCCCAGCAACGAAAGTGGAATACAACAACAGCAACAAAAAAATTACAACATAGTAATCGAATGAGAGAAAAGTTAGTGAGTTCCTATAACACTACTTTTCGCCTCTCGAACGAAAATTCCGAGCATTGCCGGCCACGGCTTTAGGGATATACGGTGTCGCCCTCTTTTTATCGTTCGTTCGTCCGTCCGTTTTTTTTTTTTTTTTTTTTTTTTTTCCACTTTCGACTGTTTGTTAACGTGAGTGTTCTTATTTCGTAAACTTTCCCTCTCGTCTTTCACGACGAAGGCACCGCAGGAATGCCCAAACAACAGAAACGAAAAAAAAAAAAAAAACACATTCAAAAACGAAAGAAAAGACAACGAATAAAAACGCGTATTCCGACCACCAAAGAGCTACACAAATTCCGCAAACGACTTTCTTTTTTTGGTCGGAAATTAGCATTGCTTATCTCGCGACGCCGAGCTTCTGGACGTAATAAAACAATTTTAGGCGATTCCTTCGCCACCCAAGCGAGCAAAAGAACGAACTAAATATTGAAAAAAGACCGTGGTGTCACAGTTTTCTTCTAATCAGGCTTTTTTGGAAGGTCGGAAAACATAATCTCAAAAGGGGGAAAAAAAGGAGGGGTGGAAGAAGTCCCTCAAACGTTGATCGTGTAGGTTCCTGGAAGCAGCGTCCGTCGCAGTGTTACAGAGACAACGCCGAGGGAAGAAAATGTTTTCAAAACAAATTAAGCTTGGAAAAACAGCCGCGAATTGTGAATACAGACTCGTTCGTTGGCTTCCTTCAGATACAAACACACAAACAGCATACAAAAGCTTGGACCTACAACTCACAACATCACGTAAAAACCAGAAAGGACCACATTGCGCCAAATAATGTAATTTTTATTTTTATTTTTTTTTTATTGAGGATCACGATGTCATACTTCTTTGCCGAGAAAACAGAAAAACTATTTTTGTCTTCCCTAACAAACTCGGAAGCGGTAAAACTTGAGAGAAGCGACGTGGCAACAAACAAACCGTCGTGATTCGGGTAAAATAAAAAAAAAAAAATAAAAAAACAAACACACGAGTACAAAAAAAAAAAAAAAAAAAACTATTTTGACAAAACGTTGGACGAAGCGAATGGGCAGCGAATGGGCGGAGCACAACACGACACGAGCGCCGTGGCGAGGCAAGGTACCAACTAGGACTCGGTGGTAGCGGTAGTAGTGGTAGAGGCGCACTATAGTAATAGTATGGTAGAAGCCGGTGAAGGGGAGGTAACCATAACACCATGCAACAACAAAAAGAAGACTGCCAAGTGTGGCGACGACGACGCACGAGTGCCACGGAAGTGAGGGCGGACGCGAGAAGAAAACAAAATAAATAAATAAAAAGTCAGACATGCGTGAGCGTGGGAGAGTGACTCCCCGTCTTACGGCAACAGTGCCCAAGACAACGAACAAGAACAAAAAGGAGGAAAAAAATAAGGGGGGGGGGGGGGTGAAGAGATTTCCGACAGAGAAAGAGAACGCTAATCGACTCTTCAAGAAGCAAGCAAGTACTGCCACGTTCAAAAACAAAAGAGATCCACCAACAACGCAGTTGTTGCTCGAGCAAATCGCGTGAGAACCCAAGCGCGTATTCTCCCCGTAAGTTCCGAAAAATACGCAAAAAAAGGACAACATCGTTTCTCCCTTTTTTTTTTTTTCCTTCTTTTTAGGTGACAAATAAACGAGGAGAACCGGATGAAAAGTTGGAGGGGCGGCGCCGAAGAACGGCAAACAGAAAAAAAAATATAGGTAAGCTAAATTTGCGTGGGAGATATTAACACACCGAAAAAAGATAGAAAAAAAAAAAAGCAGCAAACAAACATTTAGGGCCGAGAACGACGAGCATTGTCTCATCCCCGGCGTCTTTAGCGCGAAAGCACTCAATGAGACGCGAGCACAGCTCAAAAATCACCAAGAACAAAAGTATTAAAAAAAAAAAAGCTCGTTTTGAACGAGGGGAAAGGGGGGGGGGGGATGGAACGGGAACATTTTTCACACGGGAAAGCGAGGTGGCTACCTAAAACAAAAATTTGATACTCCGAAGAAAGAAAACCTGAACCGAAACAGCGAATCTCGGCTCGCGTACGCCGTGTCTGTGTACCTTGTCAAACCAGTGTCGCTGCTAAGAGTTCACGATATCATGGTATACACCTGAGGAGAACAGAAAACGACCTTCTCAGCCGGCAACCTTGCTACCACGTGATCTCTCTTCCGACAGCCCCATAGTTAACTCTTCGGAAACAAAAAGAAATAACGATTCGAGATATCAATCGATTTCTGCGCATCGGTCTTGAATGTCGTCATACGACCTTCAATCTCAACAAGAAAGGGGAAAAAAATGTTTCTGGTTTTCTTGTTTGGATCCAAACGTCATATTCCCACAGTTATTTCCGGAGATGTCTACATATATCTAGTCTCCGGAGGTACGTTTCTGATTCGCTGGCAGATTACTAGACAAAAAGGAAACAACATTTCCAGTGTGGCTTTTGCTGGTTTCACGCCCGCTAAAAGAAGTCAGAAACTTTTGTTGTTTTCGTCGTGTTTTTACGTTGACGCGGTATCATCATCCACGTCGCATAGAAGCCAAATCTTCAGCAGCCCGGAAACGACGATGCGGGTATTGATGGACCGACGGGGAAATGACAGATGACTTGTTCGACGGACCGCTCAACGAGTTCGGTGGCCACGTCGCGACGGCGACGACCGATCGACGCCTCCGAGGAGTTCCCGTGCGCGTCCTTCTTGTTCACGGTGCAAAAAAAATAAAATAAAAATAAAATCGCGTTTTCTTCTTTTTTTTTTACATTTATTTTCGTGATGTTTGTAATTATGCACTTATAGTTACAGATTTCACGAACTAAACTCGACGCTCGACTGGTTTAGCGAACTGTCAAGCTTCCGGCAAACTTGCCTAATACTAAAAAAAGAAAAAAAAAAGCTATAATTGTCTAAATATTTTTTTTATATATATAAAGCCTTTTGAAAACCATCGCAAGTAATTTTTGCAAACCAGCTGTGTTTGCAGAATATAAAAGCCAAAAAAGTAATGCATTTAATTATTTAGTTCGTTCGTTCAAATGCTGCACCCTTCCTCCACCAGGCAACGCCACCTCGTTCTAAATTCGAACCTCTGTGAACTTCGAGTTCAAAGTCAGAGTCGTCGAGCCAAATGAGGTCCGTGCAAATTTCCCAAATAAAACTCTAAAAAGGGAAAAAGGCGTGGAGAGGCAGCTTACCTTTGGAGCAGTAGTCTCCCCTCCACCCGGGCAGGCAGACCACGTCCCCTTTGGCGTTGCAGGCGTAGTGTCCGAACTTGTCGTCCCGCGGCCGGCACAGCCTGGCGCAGTCGGCGCCGAAGTAGTGCTCCTCGCACACCACGCGGAACGAGAAGGACAGAGAAGTCCGCTCCGACCGCAAAGTATCCGAGGTCCAGTCCAGGCCCACGTTGAGCCAGCGCTGCGTCGTCAGACGCGACACCAGGGTCGGATGGCTGCTGCCGCCGCCGCCAGACGACGCACCTGTCAGAACATGATCAAACAAGGGCCGCACGTTAGCGACAGTCCAACAGGAACGCGTCATCATCAATCCCATCTTATGAACAAACTAGAATCGGTTAAAAACAAAGCAGGTCGTTTCATATCACACGATTATTCTCGAATATCCAGCATATTTGCCCTAAAATCTGCTCTCGACTTGTGCCCATTGTCTGAAAGAATTCTAGTCTCTCCCGTCTTGTCATCTTCCACAAACTAATGTTTTCCTCCTGCTTTTTTTCGTGAACCTTTACCTACAGCCGCCATCACACATTTTCATGCGCCTTGATCATAGCCTAAAAATTATGCCATGATTGCCACTGGCTCTTGCCATTAATAACTCGAATTCTTTTCCTCAATTAATCGTAAACGAAACTAATCGCGATATATTCAGATTTTTGCGAGGTACACCTTTACACTGTTCATAATTACCACAGTTAGTTACCACCACCTATTGTTCCCTCTTGTTTAGTTTTCATGCGTGTTTGTTTTGTTTATTTCTTTTCTTTTTGCCGATACACCATGTTCCTAATTAATCAGCTTTTTTTTTTTCGGATTTACACGTTTAAATTTGTCTTCTCGCCTTCCTGTCTACCTCCTCCTCCCCCTCCTACTCTTCCCATTATGTAATGTAATGGATGAAGAAAGAATAAAACAATTAAAACAGGGACAACACAACCACATCTTTCATGTGGTTGAAAGATGTGGTTGTGTTGTCCCTGTTTTAATTGTTTTATTCTTTCTTCATCCATGACCCAAACCAACACGCTCTTCTCCCAAGCGTATGTAATGTACTTTCCATATACTGTACGTATGAGTGATAATGAAATGAATTACGACAAAACTTCACAGCGTCCCGGATGCATCATACGCGACGAGGACTACCAGGTAACTCCCACGACTGGGAACGCAGCTCAAAACCAAGACGTTTCTCATAGAGCAGACGTGACACGTCGCAACTTTCGCGTTTCGTTACCGTCTCGTGAGTAACGAGTGACGTTCGAAGCGACAAGGAACGCGGAACAGACACCCGAACAAAACACAGAACGCGATCGCATATCCATACTGCCAAAGATGCGCGTCACCCACATGCATTTCAAACGGCATTCGCCAAGAATTCCAAGAAAGAAAGGAAAAAAACAAAAAAGAATAGACGCACATCTAACGGAACATTTACACACACATATATATAAACCAGAGTTACGGCGGTGCTTTTGAATATACGCGGGAAATCTGTATAATTAAGTGACCTGACGCGCAGTCGACGTAAACATGACACAACCGAGACGGATCTCAGCAGAAGATACGAAGACAAAACAAAGATGTCCACGAGGAAGCACCACGTTAACTGTGTTCTTTTTTTTTTTTTTTTTTTTGTTACGGCATTTTAGTAAAAATAAATATATAAATAAATAGGACGACGTTTGAGTGACAAACTCGAGAACCCAGCAGCCACTTCCGATAACGAACAACGCGCGTGCAGTATGGTAACAAGGTTTCGTAGGAGACAATCAAAACGACCGAAGGTGCGCTTATGTGTCGTTGCTATGAACCCCGTTAATACAAAATGCCCCGCTCCAAAAAAAGAAAAAAAAATTTTTTTTTTTGGAAGGACAAATTGCACGCTACTCAAAAAAAAAAAAAAAAATTAATCGATTACAATTACTGTCGGTTAAAAGCAGTATGTCAGTGATTACTCGAAAAACGTAATTAGCTATTATTTGAAGAAAAAAAAAAAAAAAACGTATTACTTTTTTCACAACTTCAGATTTTCAAAACGGCAGATTTCTCTGCCGGTATAAAAACAGCACTTTTGTACTGTCCATTGTCGGATTAGAGTTTCACCCGAATTCTAAACCACTTCTCTTCTTAATCCAGCAATTTCAAATATACCATTTTTTTTACGGAGAACCGGTTCGAGGACCCCTTGGTAAGAAAGTGGTATACGTAGGGCGCCATCAGAAAAAGGAAGGGACAAATAGTAACGCTTACGAGGCACATTAGTACTTCCATCAAAAGTAATCAAACGATTACAAAATTACACCAAAAAGTAATCAATTAGAAGTAAATTGATCACTTGTAATACAAGTCTGGTAAAGACGTGCACTTTTGTCTCGTTATATTATGGACGATGTTATTTGTTGTTTTAGTTTAATAGAAGAAAGGGAATTAAATGCAGGAGGATCGACTATTGCGAATAGTCGCGTTTTCGAATCGCAACAATCGCCCATCTGCACGCGGTAATTAGGCACCAAAGTGGCGGAAGTCCACACGATAATCCGGAAGCGCCGATCGCTCGAAGCGTATATACCTTAATAATAGTTACCGACAAGGCGAGACGCGCAGAGAGGAACTTCGGTTGTTCCGCCTCCAGCCCGAACTTCTCACATTCGAACGATTCGCTTTGGAGTCTCGCGGGCGCGCAGTGAAAAGCACGACGGAAGGCACGGAGCGCGTGCTTCGGAGGCATTCGAAAGACACACCCTGCCGTGGCAATACTCTAGCGTGTACGTAGCTTATCTCTAGCGGCTCTAACGTACGCCTGGCGTGACGCGGCACTATTTGATTTCGAGCCTCGAGCTACCGTAACACGCGTCAATAACCCCGGGCGTTCGTATCATTAAAGAAAAAATAAAAAAAGGGTGTGCCAATTAAAACCCGGATCCTTCCCAATTAACCTTCTTTACGAGCACCTAAAGAAAATCGAACAAAAAAGAAAAAAAGAGGGGGGTCTTTTGTCTTCACGGGAGTCGAGGTTAAGGAACCGAAATAAAAACAGGACTCCTGTCCATTCTTATTTATATTTTCTTTCTCCCCAAAGGTAACTCAGAAACGGCAGCACGCAAGGTTGTCCTCTTTTATCTGTTCTCCGATAAAACCTCTAAAAAAAATAAAAAAAGTACGAACACAAAATAGAACCAGAACTTAATGGTTCACGGACGGAAGCTTCTTCAGGTAGCAGGCTCTATTTGTTTCTTTCCTTCCTCGCCAAAAAAGTTCCCTCGACTTTTTTAAAGCTTGCACGGAGTAAGAAAATCTGCCGCTACGAGAGGGGCTAAGAGAGAGAGAGAGAGAGAGAGTATGTAACACTAACGAAGAGCATTAAGAGTAGTAACAAAGAAAGAAAAAAACGAAAACACGAAGAGCAAAAGGGAACGTCGTCGCCACCGTCGTCGCCGTCGTGTGCCTCTCCTCCAAAGCAAAACAAAAGGAAGTCCAGGCTCGAAAAAAGAGCGTCGAGTCCGTGAGAGCGCGACCCTCAAGGCAGCCAAGCGAGGCGACGCAGAAATTATATCGGCCCAGCCAAGCCTGATTTTCCCACAACTTCGCCGGCTTCCCCCCCGGTTTCTTTTTTGGGCGTCTGCTTTTGTTCTCCGTAGCAGACGACGGAGTCCCGCGGACGCGCGGAGCAGACGGCACCGACGAATCTGATGTCGTCTGCTAGCGTCGAGCGCGATGTCTTTTGCTAGCGATGGAAAACCATCGAAGGAATCCGTTGCTCGGATTGTATCACTACCGCGAGGAGGGAGGTGATAATTTGACATCATAAAAACAGTATTTTTATTTTCAAGATAAAAAAAAAAAATAGTTACTAAAAGACAGAAACATCCGACGGAAGTAGAAAAATGACGGCACAAAATAGAGCGAACGGAAGCTTTTCTTCCAAATTTGTCAAAATGGGGGCAGGAGGGAGTGCATGTCATTTTTTTAATGACTGCACTTTTCTTTTAAGATTAGCTTTATATTTATGGGAAGCCACAATCATCCTTTAGTAGTGGATACATGTAAAATAAGCAAGATTTATAAGCACTCCGGAATAAACGACAAAGTTCACTACTCCACAGTATTTCCCGCTCAGTGCCCCCCCCCCCCCCCCCCCAGACGCCTACGTCTGCAAACGCACTACAGAAAACATCTGTAAAACAAAACTTAACATCCCCCCCCCCCACCCCCACCAAAGAAAATAAATAAATAAATAAAGGAGTAGAGGTACACGATAACTTTTTCAGTTTATGGTCGGCAATAGCCATTCCGACCCGCCACAGAAAAGTAACACTACTACTACTCTACTACTACTATGATTACCAGCAAAAATATTAATAATAATAATAAAACACTAACAAAAAAAAAAAAAAACACTGTCGTCTGCGTTCCGCACAGGCTAATCACCTTCCGTCACGTTCCATACCTCATTTTCCCTCGATTCTATTTTTAAACCTAGCCTCGTTCAAGAGAACACGAGAAACCATAAGAAGCAATATAAAAAAAAATAATTAAAACTAAATAAAAAAAATATTAAAAAAAAAGCAGGCGACCACGAAACACCCCGGAGGAGAAAGCAGACGACGACGAACGTAATCGAGCAGACGAAACTCGCCAAACAGACAAACAAGGAAACAAAAACGACACGTGATCACCAACCGAGACCCAGAAGGGACACTACGCTACGTAACAAAAAAAAAAAGCTGGCTACACACAAAGGTTTTAAAAGCGCCGTGAAGATGAAAAAGAGGGGAAAGGGGGTTATGCATCGGAATGCGCGTCATCCACCTAACAGGTTCCGCCTCTTGCGCGAGGAGGCGGCGGCTTCCGAAAAAAGGCAGCGTCCACCGGGCCAACAAAACAAAAGACGGCTGGCTAAACACACGCACGGGCAGCAACAGCACATCCGACCGACGTCGGCGAGAGAGGGGGGGGGGCCGAGGGAGCCGGAGAAACTCGCAATTAATGTAACTGCCCATCGATTATGGACGACTTTGCCCCGCGATACGCAGTCTGCATAAGCGAAGAGAATCGCGTACCCGTGCCCTCCTCGCCCAAAACGATTCGACCGCCGCCGCGGCCCAACAAGAGAATCCAAACTTTCGCGAACCTTTCCGAGGTTTCGGGACCGAGAAGGTGCGATTTCGAAGTTCATCGAAAGTCGGACGGAGACTTTGGTGCTCATGCGCGAAACTTTTGAGAACGTGCTCACTTCTTCGCTCGGTAGACGAAAACGTTCGGTCGTATAGACTTTCCTGTTTCAACCAAAAAAAACGCCGATAAACATCAGTTAGTGTCAACAATACAAAATCGGTTCAAAGGAAAAGACGACGATCCCTTTTAATTTTTGTTCCAGCTAGTACTGTTTGTCGAAGACTTCCATCTTGCATAGTTTTTCACAGATCACCGAAATCTTACAAATAAACGCAAAAAAGGGTCACCAGTTTTTTTTGTAAATAAACACCGGAACATCTACGGCGTATAGGTACATTGTTTTACATTGATAAACTAAAACATTAAAAGTACATATCGTTGCATTTATATTGCGTAAATATTAGTAGTAAAGCTTCATAAAATTAAAAAAAACACGACTTTAGTTATTTTGTAAAAAAAAAAAAATTGAAAAGTTCCTGCTGAAATCGGGCGAAGTCGAATATCGCTAAAATATCGAAGGTCTTGGCGAACCCGTTGGGTTCGCCAAAGGTTCGCGACACCCCTAATCAAAACGCCGTGCCTCGCAAGGGAGATGCTTCTTTCTCCTACAAGACGAATGGCTCTCGACTGTCCAATCCCCCCCCCCCCCCCCCCCCAAAAAAAAAAAAACAAAAAAAAAAAAAAAAAAAAACAAGATGGCGGATTTTAAATACGGAGCTGACATTAGACGCACCCTTTCTCGGAATCTTTTGAGCTCTAGCTAAGGCAATTATCTACGCAACCGGAAGTCCGTGGTGTGCGGACTTCCGGTTAGCCGTGACCTTGGTGTAAACATGTCACTCGCCATTCTCGTTAAAAGGCATATAAGTAGGTAAACAAAGTAGAAATAAACGATAACAAGTTCACCATTTGCAGAAGAAAAAAAAATAAATAATGGTCAACAGAAGTTGGGAACACTAATTTGGGAAAACAAGGTTGAGTGCAGCGTATGAACCGGGAAAGCAAAAGGCAATCTGAGCAATACAAACATTTTCTTGAAAGTAGCGCGACAAAACTCAACATAGTACATAGACTGATGTTTCGTGGCAGTATGCTAAACGCGGTAACCCTTAGACATATACTTTATCCAGTAAAAGCCGCACGAATTCGGAACAAGCAACTACCAGAAACCGATCTTTAGGAACAGTCGAAATCTTTGATGTTCCATCAAACAGCAATTCTAACGAGTCAGATAAATCGCGAATTCGACAACTAAACGTCGGAACAAAACAACCACGTAGGGGAGCGTAAACCAAGGAGTGACTATCTTGGAATCCAGTCACGAGAACAAGAACGCAATGAACACAACTGGAACCGTATCACGCTTAGAACGTAGAACAAAACCTCGAAAAGAGAAACCAAACCGCAAACCGGTCACAAAAGTGACATAAACAGAGAGAAAAAAAAAAAAAGAGGGCGCTCCTAGCAGACGACACACACCTCAAACGTACCGATTGCAAAAGACATCGGGGCGCTCACAACACGGGCGAAGAACAATCGTCTCCGACGAACGGCCGAGTGGGTTTTTTCTCACACCCTTGGCAACTCTCTCGCGGTGTGTTCGTCCACCCGCGAGCGAGAGATCGAGAACAAAACCGGCCTCCCATGGACGACACAAAAAACGAAACCAACCAAATCGGCGGCGGCGAAGTTAGCAGACAGCCGACAAGTGCCGCGAACGCACGCCCTCTCTGAGCCGCCGAGGCAAACTAGCTCGCCCACCGAGTTTCCGGCGGCGAAGGCTGCTTCTCCCTCGCCCCCTGCAAAAGCTGAGCCTAAAGAGCCGACCGGCCGGACGTAAGGATACAAGTTGCCACCGCTACCTGGCTCCTTCGACGGACGACCCAACAAGCCCACTTCTCTCCTCAAGATGAGCGAGAGAGAGTATGTGTACAGGACGCAACAGAGAAGCAAGAAGGACAGCAACCTGACTTACTCGCAGACCCAGTATACCCAAAGTCCCGCACCCAGCCTACCTACCTGCCATGCACACACTAAGAAAAAAAAAAAAGGAAGCAAAAAAAGTCCGTGGCCGCTAACTACAAGAGCAAGCGGGCAGAACCAGCGAATACGCTGCTGCGCTCGGAGGGGAAGCTTCTTCAGCTCGCGAGAGATATTCCACGAGGCAGAACATCCCGCAGCAAACAAAACAAACAAACACAAAAACAGCCAAAGGCGCGACTCAACGGCAAAGGAAAGGGGGTGGAGAGCCCCCTCACCTTTGGAAGCGGGTACATTTTCTTTTTCACCCCCGTCCCTCCCTCGAGAAAGGGAAGAGAAGAGGGGAAGTTCAAAAACTTTAAACACACAAAACAATCAAAAGGGGGAAATAGCTAAAATGCCACCAACGCAAAGCAGTCAGCTCGCTGGCCTGCCCAGCCAGTAGCCGCCGACTCGAGCAAGCCAACAAGCAAAGCCGAGCCAAGGCAGAAGAAAAAAAAAAAAGGCAAGCGAGAAGCCAGAGAGCAAGCAAGAAACCCGTCCTTCCAAGCAAGCATCGGCTGCTGCTCGGCCGCAACCACGGAGTGCCGACTTTTCTCACGGTCTATTTTCCTGCGGGTCCTCGCACCCTCCACCTCTATGCCTCCCCTCCTCTCTCTCCCCCCTCTCTTTCTCGTTACTTCGCGCGCCGGCTGCTGCCTCCTTCCCCACCTTGCACCGGCTAGACCGACCGGCAAGGCCTTTGCGGGGCTCTCAGCTGTGCCTCGGACTCAGGGGGACTTCCTTCCTCGCTCCGTCTAATTTAGTTTACATATATAGTACAATAGGAAACGAACCCCGCTCCAAACAACGCCAACCAAGAGATAATGAAAAAGGAGAGAGAAAGAAAACGTTCTTTTGCTGAGTGGCTTCCTGCGGCTGTTGCAATTCGAGGAGGCGACTGCCCCAGACATAGAGATCACATCAGTCAGAACGGATGTCCTTCATTAGAGAGTTTATTTTTTATTACTTCGGTAGCGGCGTCGAGAAGTCGCTATGGGAGTTCGTGTCGCCTGCTCTAAAACGCGGTAATAAGCCAACGTCTGCCGAGACGGGCAATAACTATGGAGTTGGCGATGAGCTCATAGTCACGCAACAGGGATACATTTGAGATCGCTGTACGCGGTGCTTCGAGAAGAAACGATCGAGAAAAAAAACTCACCGTTGCTGTTTTCGTGCCAAGCCTCGACGATGAGCGAAAATGTACCCTGTAAGCGGACAAAAAAGAACGCACTCAGTTAAGGGTTACGACATTCAAAGGAAACAGTCGGAATGTGTTCTGAACGTCCCGCTGGGGTTCAGTTACTGTTTCAGTGAGTAACGCGTAGCAGATAGGCTTAGTTAACCTTTCAGTGAGTAACTGTAAAAAAGTATCTCAACGGGGAACGAGGAAGTGTATTTAGCAGTAGAGTATTAACACAGGTTAGGATCGAAAACACCGCTTCATCCACGGATTACACGGTGCTAGGAAAACCCAGGACACATCGGCTATCGTGGCAGCGTTGAACCTAGGGTTGACGCTCCGCAAGTCGAATCAAAGCCGCAGTCGCCCACCCAAGGCTAAGCAGAGACACACAAAAACGTATTCGGAAAAGGGAATGGGGAACCTCGGCGAATTTGGAGCCCTCCAAAAGCGTCCGTGCTCGCGCATTTGGAGAAGTAAATCCTAGCGCGCGCTTGCACACGCAAAAAGATATTGACAAAGAAAAAAAAAAAGCCCTTCAGAGTTAGGGAATTTCCCCTAGTATATAGTTAGTTGTCTTTCATGCGAATAGAAATCCCTGAGATCCTTCTGCACTTCACAAGAGAAGACCGCGTGTGCACAACTTTGATCTGCGCTCAAGGTGCGCGAGCACACGAGTACCCACAGCCTTGGCTCCATTGCCAGCGGACACTTCAAAGAGAAGAGGGAACACTCACGGGCCACGAGAAGTCGAAGCTGAACCGGACGGGCGCCGTGAGGTTGAGGGAGCTTCCGGGTCCCGACGACGCGACCACGGGGGTCTGGACCTCGCCGTAGGTGCACGGAGAGTTCGTGTCCACGGTCTTCTGGTAGTGCTTGAGGCAGACCCGGAACCAGGTCCGACACGTGCCGGGGCACGGGGCACCGGGCGAGGGAGGCAGACCCGTCGAGCAGCACGAACCCCGCGAGTCCTGACTCAGGAGGTTCGAGAAGGCGCGTAGCTGGAGTTCGAACACGCCGGACGCGTTCGCCTGCACAAGCAACGCACGTTTGGTTAGGCCTTTTTGTTAATAAAAGCCGATCCAGTCAACCATCCACCACACCTAGACAAAACTGAACGTATTTTTGTACATGGCTCGCATCACCTGTCATCGTAGAGGCCTTGCAGCTGAGGACGAACTACGTTCAGCAGTACGATGATGTCAGGTACAGGCCATGCATAATCCGTTCCACTTCACTTGATGTGCGAGCGCAGCAAGAGCTGCAACAGCGAGCTCCTGACTATGTGTCGCGCAGTGCAAGGACCGTTCAGGGCAACATCCCCGTGCTTGTAGCTTCGGCTTCGCTAGCACGAAAAGTGAGGGGAACTATACACCATTCTAATATTTAGAAGTCCTCAGCCCACCGTGCGATCTCCTCAGTCCAGCACACGCAGGTTCGACGCTTGGGAAAGCGAGCAAAGTACGCACCATACGCGCGAACACTGCAAATAAAACCGGCCAAAAGCCCCCCCCCCCCTCCCCCCCCTTTTTTTTTCTTTTTCGAAAGGTTGAAAGCAGTAACAAGGGCCAACATTGGGCAAGTCAGCGTACGTTGGTTCAGACGAAAAACCAACAACGCTAACGGAAAGGCTGAGAAAATGCCCGCGAACTTCACGACAGGCACAAGTTTTGTCTTTCGGCAGATACGTGGAGGCAGGTGCGGCTTCTCAACGCAGTAAACTTAGGGAGGAAAGCCTTATGGTACACCCTAGTTGGTGGGAAGAGGATCAAACAAGAACACCCAGACACCTTTTGACGTGCCACTAAAATCTCACGTCAAACGGCATTTTCTCTGCAACGGGCCTCCGTCAATTAACTGCGGCGCCCACTGAATACCATAATTATCCGAAACAACACCTTAGCATCTAAGCATGACATAAACAAAATCGCCCCCCCCCCCCCTTTTTTTTTTTTTTTTCTTTGTTAAGAACGGATATGATTGCGCGACAAAAGCATTAGACAGACGTAAACGCGCTAAAACAATTTAAATACAAACGAGGAAAGACGGCAACCGGCACTCCAGACGATACCCTTTTCAACACCCGAGGAGTTCTACGGTAAACAAACGCGGAGGGTCCGTCGAAACTAAACGACAGAGTTGAAACATGGCGACGCACTTGAACCCGCACAGACACCACCCTCATCTCTACCATCGCGAACCCAACCCCCCCCCCCCCCCCCAAAAAAAAAAAAAAAAAAAAAAAAAAAAGAAAGAAAGATAAGGCCAGGAGAAGTCTACGAGTTTTCCGAATACACAGATGGACTTCCCAGAAAAATGCCACCGCAATCCACCGGCACTGGTCCCGCCAGATGGCAGAAACAAATGGGCAAAACAAATAACGACGCCGAAAGCCGGCAACAGTCAACGAAAGAGAGAGAGAGAAAGAAAGATGCGGCTGCAACCGAGAGATCCCCGCAGCCTGCCGATTGTTTAAAAATACTCGTCAACGGTGGAAGGAGACCAGCTTTGTTTTGACGCGCCTCACTCAAGCTGCGGCTCGGCTCGGCCTGGCTAGCTCGTCGACTTGTCCACAGCTTACGCCATCTCCCGTCTTCTTGACCGACGCTCGGAGCACACTGGCAACATTTCTGCTCCCTACCCCTCCTGCCTCGACGACAAGCGGTGTGGCGAAGCCGAGGAAAACTCTACATTTTCGAAAAGGGAACATGTTCAAGATCACACCCGAACGTTCTTTCCTTTCTCAGCTCTGTACGATAACAACGCCTTTCAACCGCCACGGCCGTGTTGTTACTCAACGCCTCTTCCTTAACCTCCCTGGAGATGACACTGTCAAGCAGGCGGTACATGGCTAGCGTTCACTGGACGACCTTCCTGGACGCTTGTTCGGGCACAGTGCACGCTCAGGACAAACACTTTCTTTAGTCACTTTGAATCTAAACCGCGACTGGGAACCCCAGTTTCGGGTTAAATTCATCGTGGCAAACTTCCACCAGTTCACCTGCGCACTGGCTGTATCTCCTCTATTCCCCGAGAAAAAACCTACAGTTTTCACAATGTGAAGTGTTCCCGAAGCGTTGTTTCGTGAACCTTCTACGAAATGAAGAGGCATTACGATAAATTCAATAAAACCAATTAAAAAAGTTATTGAATGTGTTGTTGCAATCCGCCAATGAAAAACCAGAATGAAGTTCATCGTGAAAACAGCGCGAAAGTGACAGGACAACCAGCTGAAAAGTCAGTCCTCCCTTTTTGTCCTTGTCCCTCTCGCGCTGTGCTTTTCACGATGAACTCTTACCAACTTGGCCAACTGTCCATTCAGAAAAACCAGCAACTTTCTCAACTTGCTATGCTGAAATGCAGGCACGGCTAAGCTACGATGTCCAATGCCCCCCAAAGCGACGCTGCAAAACCAGACGTCAAATGGGCCCATCGGAAAGCTGGGCATTGTCAAAAAGTTCAAAAATAACACCTAAAAAAAAAAAAAAAAAAAAAGAAGAATCGCAGATTAGGACGACGAAAGGGCCAAAGACGATACCGAACAGATGTTTCCAATCTTCCCGATCGCCACCTACTCGACGACCCCAAGCGGAGCTGGCGTCGCCCACACGCCGCGAACATAACACGCGACTGCTCTTTTGCTTTCATGACCCCGACCGCCGAGAGAACCGGCGCAACCACACAAAAATAAAACGACGCATCGAAAATCCAATAAACGTGCGGCGGTGTCGCGCTCGGAAGAAGAAACAGAAAGAAGCCTACGCATACATCGGCGGTCGCAAGATGCCATTAAGTAAAAGACAACATAAAAAAAAAAAAAGCATTTCCGTAAAATACGGAAGTATATAATCCAAAGAAAGAAAAACACGAGATGGAAGATGACGTCACGGGCTGAAACGGTTCCCGCCCACTGATGTCTATGTTGCGCAGGCGACGCGGGACGAAGCAGCCGAACCGCCACAGTACCGGTCCCAGACATAAACATTGGCGTAACATACCGGGTGTTTGGGAGAAAAGAGAACTGCGTTTCTCTCGATGAAAACATTGACTACACCCCGCGGTAGGCTAAGTATCCATCCAAAATGTATACCGCTAGCGGTTAGGAGTCAGATCCCCATGTTTCAGGTCTCGAAAGAAAGTATTATTAACGGAGAACACGAATACGCGGAGACAAATGGAGAAACGCTAACGGGAACGCGCCCCGTGTTCTATTTGAAAGCTTACAAAAATCACTCGTAACTTGTCTGTTCTGAAACTTGGGCATGTTGTCCGAACCGCTCGCTAACCTTTGGTACTGGTAAGATGGACATTTCGCGGCTTCGCCTCGGCGAAGTGCGCTCCAAGCCATACATCCGGGCCGCATAATAGAGGTCAGTAGTCCCGCCCGCTCCAAGAACCAAACGAGCGCTTATGTTTGAACAGCATGGGCTACTTTCAAATGCAAAGCTTGGTCTCTCTGACTACGACTCGTGAGAGTACCGCAACCCGCACGACTCTGCCTGCACACTCGAGTGGGCGGATTCCACGAACACACTGCAAATCGAATGGACACCGCTTATACAGCAAAGGAAGGCCGCTCGCGGTGTTCATTTCGCATTCGTGCGAACGCCGGTGAAGGTTGAAAACATAAATTAGAAGGCGCGAAACAGACTTCGCCAGTTTGCGCCAAGGTCTCGGCTCCGCGGGGATTATCGTGCGAGCTCTCCACAGTGTAGCTAGCGCTATCGGCCAAGAGACGAATTCAATGTCTCTATCAGAACTATTAGATTATTTCCAATAGCGCAATGAAGGCCGCTAGTGTCTCTAAGTTTGGAGACGCCTCGGCCAGGTTCGAATCCCGGCCGAGGTGCCCGCAACCTGACGGAGGATTATTGCGGAGGAGGCGCAGTGCGACCGAGATTTGGGTAGCACAATGTCGAAAGATCCACAGGTGTTCGAAATCGATCCCCAGTTCTTCGCCAAGCCGCAGCGCCCTTGGTTAGCTCGGCACGCGTGAAAGCTCCGAAATTTGACTTTGACCCGTTTGTCGACTGACCTCGTAAACTAGATAAACGCCCTTTGCATCCCGGGGAATCTAGTCGAATTCCACTCAGTATAGCCCGCGCGGTCGTCGGCCAAGTTCACTGACCTCGCAAACCAGTTGAACACCCTGTATATATACCCTAAGAAACCGAGTCGACTATAGTTAACACCAGGAGGAGAGTGCCAGTTAGACCCTTCGTTCCTACAGCGCGAGCTTCCTGCCTTCGATAATGCTGCGGCGTCTCCCAAAACATGACGGAAGGCCACGAGCGCGTGCTGAAGCCCTCGCGAACGGCGACGACAGCCCGTATACGACACGAGGAAGACACCCGTTCCGCGCTTCGGTTACACAAAAGGCGGCCGCAGCCAGGTCGCCTTGGCTAGCGCCCACCACCCCGCCCTCACTTTGTCTTCGACCACCCTCACTTTGTCTTCGATCGCAGTAAGACAGGAGACGAGCGCACAAAGACGCCTACCGAAGCTTACGATCTGCGCATCCGAGCCACACGCCGAAAAGTACGCGTAGAACCGAACCGCGACAACGATCGTCGAGCCGCAAGCGAAGCCGCGACGCGCTGTCCGATCAACGCAATCGGGCATCTACCCTTTCGGCCGCGTAGCAAGAACACCGCACCGAGTTAATAACGTAGAGACGCGGAGGAAGCTTGAGAGAGATGCGCCGGAGATACACAAACAGAACGATATAGAAAAACACACACACACACACGACCCGAAACCCACATCAAACAAACAAGCCGAAGGAGTACACCCACCCTTTCTCCCCTACGTTCCTAGCTGCCCGCCTCCGGCTGCAATTTTTTTTTGTTTTATATTTCTTTTTCGGGGAGTTTATTTCCAAGTGCACCCCGGAATCTCTGGGACTGCGAAGCCTTAAAATAGAGACGGAGCCCCAAGAAACGCAGCCGCCGGCGCTCTCCTCAACGATGACGCCAGCGAGACTCTCATGCTTGAGGCAGGGAGGGGAAGCTCCTCAACTCAGACTGAGCTCAGACTGAGCTCAAAAAAAAAAAAAAAAAATTTAGGCATTACAGCAAAGTATGCATGCACATTCGAACCTCCTTCTTTTTCATCCGTAGGCAGAAAGAAACATCGACCATAACAATACGAAGCGTCATTCTAACCTAACAACGGCGATATGGAATCCGCGCTTCCATGGCGCGAGCTTATCAAAAGATACTTAGACACGAATCCCGCCGCTATGCCGATAAGCCGCTCTGGCCCGTCGGTGGACGAGTCCGATAGCTGCAACGGGTTCGACGAAACGGTCGTCATTCGGTCAATTTACGTTTCGAAGGTGCGACGATCCAACCAGAATAACGGAGAAAAGCAAAATGGGGAAAAAAAAAACCTTTGTGCCAGCACAAAACACGACGTATTAGAGTGGCCATAACCAATGGGGACTCCACAGCAAAATAAAAACGTCAGAGCCGACGTTTCGCTGACAGACGTCGCCTGCCTCTCAATCCCACGCTCTTTCTAATATCTACGCTCCTTAGCATCCGTCGGCAGGGCAGTTCTAGAAGGAAAGAACGAAGCACCAGAAACATTTCCCCCAAGACCAAGTTCGACGGTAAAGAACCGTTCACTTCGCCTCCCGCCATCGCCCCTAACACGAATCAATCGCGTCTCTGCGTTTCTCAATCACATTCTCGGGATTTCTATCCAGTCTTCTTTACACGAGTGCCGACGAGATTCACCGGCGCCGTGGTTACGAACTCGGTACGGACTGAGAAAAACGAGGTGTTCATAGAGACCTTCGCAGAGAGAGAGTGAAAACATATAGAACGTAAGACACCCCTCCACAGTCGCAGTGAACCGCGTCAGCTGCTGCTCAAGGGTGACACTCGGAACCACGTACCCGGCTACTACCGACCTTCCCAGCCGTAGACGTTTTCTGCCCGCTACCGGTGAACCAAACAAGCCGACCAGATATCAATCCGCCAAACACAACTACGTGCGTAATAAACAACGTACCACGTCGAAAGGAAAAGAAGAAAGGAAAATAATTGATTGGTCTAATCAGCGCAATTAAGGGGGGGCCATTACGATAGCCATCGCAGATGTGGAGACACTTCGTAACGACGCTGGTTAAAAGCTACAGGTAAGTGCGGCGGCCCCGCGGTAGCCAGCGCAACCACACAACTCCTAACGTCGTCAGATACCTCGATTAATTCGAACGCGTACTAGCGTGTTATCGAAGGGGTGCAACCACCGCAAAGTCGAGGGAGCCAAGTGAGTACACACTCCTTCCGTAAGCCGAGAGCCGTCTTTCGTAATCTCCCATTGCTGAGTTTGTAAAGACAGTAAGTTCCCACAAGAGCGCATTTCGGTGTATGACACCGACCAAACACTTCTGACAGGAGGAACTCTCTGAAATCGAATGAGGCTGAGGCCCGTAAGGAAAAAAAAATGAATAAATACATAGATTGAGGTCCTAACACGCCGGAAAATGTTCAAAACATGTTGAGGGAGGAAAAGAGAAAAAGTCGAATTCTTGATTGTTCGACGTCATGCGTTGTCCCTCACTGTCCACACAAGAGGCTCGCGAGACAAACTGCCGACACCCGCGTCCGACGAAACAGCCACCGAGGGATGGCGCCACGAGACCGCTCCCGACAGCCCCAAGCACCTGGCTAGGCGTCCCGAGCAGATGCCGGTCGCCAAACGAAACTCTATCCCATCCTCGGCATCGACACTGCTCCCGCGACAGGCCACAAAAAAAAGATAACCACTCCCGGAAAAGACGTAGTTCAGCTCCCTCCACGGAGCCTTGAAACACCGGTAGGAGTACCTTCATAATGTGAACGTAGGAAGTTTTTTTCGACGGGAGCGCGGTGACAAGCTTGTTTTCGATCTCTGGCGCTTCCTATGGCATGCCTCGCGGCTAAAGAAGATTCTGACATGAACGATGGTCGATCAAGTCAATAGCCAGAGTCACGTGACCCGCCCAAAAGAGGAGTCGGTCAAGTAGGGACCTGACGGACCCGACACGAATTGCCACTTGGAGCCCAGACACGGTTTTCGTGTCTTCGTTTTTCCTCATTTTTTCGTACGATAACTGTCTCACTGTCACTGTAGTCTGCGTTATGAACACATCCCTTTTAACATCAATGACTGCACATATATCGCAGCCATCCAAAACATTGATCCTCTAGGACCCCCCCCCCCCCCCCCCCCAACCCTTTACTCCAGGCACGTCCTTTTCTACATGGCATAACTATTGCATAACGCGCCTATCGTCAATTTCTATGTATTTCGAGTGTTTTCATCATCAGTGATTGTCACCTACTAGTTCACTAAAACGGGCGCACACTATCTCAAGAGGCCTATGGTTTCCAATCACCACTCGCATTTACTCGAGAACCACCGATTCATTCACATCGTACAGCCAGCCTGCCCACAAACCAATGACGGGGAAGGGAGTGTGCAACAGCCTGGCCACAAACACTGCCAAAACAAACGCGAGAAACAAATTTAAAAGAAAAGGACGTCGCCCTCACCTGAGGAAGTTGAAGCGTCGCCAAGACCAGCAACGCCAGCAGGAGGGGCCAAGAAACCGGCGAAGACGTCGGCCTGAACCTCGTTCTCGTCCGATCCGCTGGGCAGTCGTCATCCGAACCTTCTGGCCGCAGTCCGGGTAACCGGGGGTGGTGGTGATGATGGTGGTAGTGGTGAACATGATGGTGGTGATGCAGGGGTGACACCCGCGTCGCCGTGTCCTCCGCCGCCTCGGCCATCCCGTCGGCGGCGCCGGGGGTGGGTACACGCTGCGCGCAGGTCGGTGCTGTCATCGACAAGCCGACGACCACCAACGCGCCAGAAATTAGACAAAAACAAATATGACTAAAGAAAAAAAAAAAGGGGGGGGGGGGGGGGGGGGGCCTAGTGATCACCGGGGAGCAACCCGGGATCACGACGAAGACCGTGCCCAAGCGGGAGCAGCCAGCCCGTAGCGCGAAACAACGAAGTTGGGCCTCTTGAGCACGTCACCCGCGTACCGCTGTTGAGCGCCGGCCCGTACGGGTAACCGCATGGCCGGGACACACCGTGTGAACAAACAAACACCACAACGACGAACACCACTGGAAGCAACGCCGGGGTGGACGAAGGCCCAATCCGTGCTATTTTCTCTCTCAAACGCGGCCAGAATCCATAGCCGTCACTTTTCGTCACGAGAAGCTGCCGTGGTAATCCAGTGAGAGGAGGCCAAGCACGCGCTCCTGCTACCGATGATCGCCGTCGAAGACCGGCACCGTCCACCGCACAGGCATCGCGTACACACTTCACGACAGTCAGCCGTCCAAAAACATCCAAACGACGGACACCGAAATGCCGAGAGAAATTAATGGAAACTTTGTTTTTGTTTTGTATCTCTCTCGGTCTCAGTCGTTGCTGCTACACGTTCACGGGGAGGTACAACAACGGGCGTCGAAGGTAAGTTGCGGCAGTACAGAGACCGCGTCGCTCCCGGTAAAGCGTGTGCCCGTCGACGCCGGCCGGAGGGCCCCTTTTATACGTTGCCCTTTCCCCAAGCGGCTCGCCCTCTCCAGCGACGCGTTCGACCAATCGGAGGCGTCGAGACGCTGTGACGTAGCGCCGCGCTCCTCGGCGTCTGGCGGTCTCGCACGAGTCGTCTGCTCTTCAGTCGGCGTGGGACCGCGCGGCGATGAGGACGGGACGCCGGGTTGACACACGTCACTTCCGCTGCTGCCAATCTCCGCCGTTTCACTATATTCGATTTCCGGTTTGGGACACGCACCACAAAATACCCGCCGATTTTTTAAAGTTTTTTTTTTATATGCGGGTTTTCCCGAAAAGCGTTGATTATAAAATGTCAAGCGCACCGATATTCTTTTCGCCGATTTTTCGGTACTGACGTGCGTACACCACCAGGTTTAGGAAATTTGAAGAAATAGTTATATCAGGCTGGCTGGCGAACACTGAACACCTTGATAAACCTAAAGAGTTAAAGTTATTATTATTTTTTTTTTTTTTTCATTTTGTAACTATAAACGCGGAAGGCATACTCATTCTAAAAATGATTGATTAAAATTTTCGCTTTCTTTTATAGAGGGTTCCAAGGCGCTTTCAATTTGTGTGTGCTACCAACCTCTCGAACGGAATAATTGGACAATCTTGGTTCTCTGGAAGAGCCACACACGCTACGATAACGCGCGAAACGTTACCTGCAATCGCACATGCTAAGAAATTGCTGATTTGACTTTTCGTCAACTGGAATACTCTTATAATTAAGACAATTCCAGAGACACGCGATCTGTGCATTCAAACACCTCAATATTAATTCGCCAAGAATACGTGAAGAGCAATTTCAACCTAAAATACAATCCAGCTCAAAAAAAAAAAAGAAATGCACGCAGGAAAGAAATTTTTTTGAAATATTAACTTAATCTTAGGCAACAGTGTTGTCGATAAAAAAAAAAAAAACAAAAAAAAACAGGTGTCATATTTCGATAGTTTATTCGAAGAGTTGTGCAGAGTTGGAGTTGTCACAAATTAACCAATGAACTGTAATGAACCGGCCCAAGAACCGCTAGACTGTTTTGCAACTTTTTTTTTCCGGTTTTTCTTTCAATTAATTTGACCAGAGGCAAAAAACATATTGTATTGCATAACTTGACATAGAGAGCAAAAGCTTGAACAGATGAACATAAATTTACTTTCCGTGCAGTAACTTTTCTTAAATTCTCAATATACAGCGAAAAAAAAAAAATTAGCTCATACTCCGGCTCTTTCTTTTTCTTTCTCAAACTTGCGTTTTTAGTTTTAGGCGCGAAACTGCTGACTAAAAGCAAACGCACACTATGGCTGGAATACTTTGTGAGCGCAACCACGAGTCCTCTAATCGAAATCCCCACATTTTACGGCTAATTGAATAACTCATTGCAATACAGGGTAAAAAAAAAAAAAAAAGGAATGTTCTTCGGGGCGTTACAAACGGTCAACGGTCGTCAGCGCGAGCGCGCGGTGCCTTCAAAAGACATTCCCCAAAGAATTCCCGACGAGTCCGACTTTTTTTTTTTTTTCATTTTCTTTCTTTCTCTCCGACTCTTGACGGCCAGCCGAGATAAGCTCATCAATAATTCTCCGGCACCATCCGGTCCTCCTTCGTTTTCGTCTTATGTACCTGCGAGCCTATGTCCGCTTCGGCAGTGTTGGTCCGTCCGTCTGTCTTTCCGACTGCGTGTCTCTGTTTCGGTCCCTCTCTCAGCCTCATCCGCAGGCAATGATTCCCAGAGAGGCAAAGCGCCGACTCATCGCGTCAGGAACGCACCCAATGAATCGGTCGGTGTCCAATTGACAAAGCCACGCGCTTGCCTGTCTCTCGCCAATAAAAAAAGAAGAAAAAAAATTGCGGTCCGGTCTCGCTCGTGTGACATCTCAGGGACATCTCAACGTTCTAGCACTGAACTTTTTCCCCCCTCGTAATTCTGGGAGGTAACGGCGTAACCGTACACATACCGAGCGAAAGAGGTATACGCGTGTGTGGCTATATACCTACACGGATTTGTAAGAAAGGAAACAGTGGGGGGGGGGGGCAATAAATGATGACGACTGTTCGTATACGTGGAAAGACAGAGGTGAGCAGCGGAAGCGCCGAATGACTCGATATTCTTTTTCTGGCTTGTTCGAAAGAAATATAACGAACGTACTTCGAGCGTCCAAGTAGCCGCCGACGGTTCTCGGCGAACTCTGCAAAGCGAGCGTTGGTCTATACTGGTCTATCGTCGGAGTGAGGCTTCCACGAGAGATCCCTTTTCGCATTCACCGTCTGTTAGCGATTTGTTCGCTTGTTTCTTTCGTTTACAACTAAAAGAAGCGCGAAAAAAAAAGAAGAAGAAGACGCACGCACGGGCATATTAAATGCGCTTCGAAAGGGAACGCAGGTTCCCGGCGTTTGGCTTTTGCGTTCGAACGCGCAACGCCGGCGTTTGGCACTCGCATTCGACGAGTGCAGTGGAGACAAAGGCAGCTCTACCCCGTTCGCCCTTAAGCTGAGACTAAAAGCTTTGCCCTGCCCTTGCTAACAGATGTGAACGCGTAGGCACGCGCGACCAAAGCACTGCGGAAGCCGCTCAAGGGCGAACGGAGCATAGCTTTAGGTCTACCCCCTATTCGTTCCAACCAGAGCTCGGCCTCCTCTCGCTCACTTTCTCGGCGCGAAAACTGAAGGACCTCCCTCATCCCGTGAGTGCGGCAAGTTAGCAGGCGTTTAAAAAGTGCAAGCACGCACTTAAGTATTAAAAATGTTATCCAAAAAACCACACATATTCACCAGTTTCATATCCAGGGATAAACTGTTCCAGTCGTGCAAACAATAAAAAAAAAAGTAAAAAAAAAAATGTCTGTGCCGAGGCGATGAGGTACAATGAATTTGTTATGGAGTCGTTCTATAGTTGCGCTATCGAAGTTTGCAAACGTAACGTGTTTATGAATATTCATAAAGAAATGACCATGTAGCAATTAAAAAAAAAAAAAGCAATACCATTCGAGTCAACATTATCCTTTTACTTCTGGTTGAAGGTTGGCTTCGGAGTTCAGTAGGGAGACCGCTTCTGTGGATCCATAGCGATTGAAAATAAATCGGACACTTTTAATTCGGGCTCTTTTTTGTAAACGCTCTGTTGCGTGGATGGTTCCCAACCTGGGCTCGCATATTCAATCGTTAGTAATATCAGTGACTTATATGGCATTAATCCCAGCTCTGGACAGCCAAATTCTAACTTTAGTCTAAACGTTAAATATATTTTTTTTTCTTCGCTCTAATAAACTCATTTTGTGTGTGTGTGCGCATTCAAGTTCAGATTCGATTTCAAAAGAACGCCTAGGTATTTGTACTTACTGCCATAAGCCAGAAGGAGTAAATCAGACGTTGAATAATTAGCCAGAGATCGCGGTCTGCCTGTCCTGCGTATCACCGAGTAGATAATGCATATTCTCCTTAAACTACGACAATTATCGCAGCACCCACGTCCTTCCAGTATATAAACGTCACACGTTGCATCGGGTCGATTTGTATCTGACATGAATGGTATACTCGTGACAAGTAACGACTCGTTGTAATCAATTACTTTTTAGAATAATTTCGTAATATTTTGATTACGTTAATTAGGAGGTAATCGCAACAGTAATCTGATTACTCCTTTTGGAAGTACTACTAAAATTAATCGAACCCGTTACTTTTTTCCCCCTCCCCTTTCTAATGGCGTGTTCGCACAAGTTTCCCACCGAAGAATACCCGAACCAAATCACCTACAGGAGGATGGATTACCAAGATCGACGGATTAAGAAGATAAGCAATTTATAAATCGGCGATTCTAATCCAATAATGGGCATTAAGAAAGAAAGACCAGTGTGGAAACCGGCAGAAAATTCTATCGTTTCGAAAATCTCAAGTGATCGAAGAAGTATTCGCGACTCCAGCAAAACGGACGCCACCAAACGGGAAAACCGGGAACCAGCCGGACCAGGTCGCTCCGCGCCCCTCCGCGTCTTTGCGGTGGCTTTCGCGGACACGTGTTGTCGGCACGGTAGCGAACAATGTAATTTGACGAAGGTCCGAATATTTTAAAGTTTGCCTGAGTGTTCATTAGTGTGGTGAAGCCTCAGTAGATTGTTTCCTCCCATCTCGTGTTTCAAAGCCCGTTCACTCCACAACACACGGTCGCGTGCTTTCGATTTCTTGGATGGGGCGAAATCACAGAAAAACGTTTTCATTTTCTTGTCTGTCTCGAATCACATTTCAAAGTGACGACTACTTGGTAACTGACAAGTGATTTTTTTTTTTTATGAGGATGTAGAACAGTGGACTGAGGACGACATACGAGGCATTTCGCTGGAGGGAACAT